CATATGAACAACACCGCATAATCAACACATCATATTCATAACACGACTTATCAACTCAACAACATAAATATAAATATATAACACCACAACTAAACACATGTATCACACAACTCAACAATATTAACCGCATATGTACAACAAATCAATTATATGCATCGTCATGTATTTTAACTAGGAAATCTCCTACAATACAGGTGAATAGTTTAAGTTTCTTGACCCTATCAAATCAACAACTTGATCTTTTAAATCCAGCTAGATCAACAATCAATTTGGATAAAAATTCATAACAACATAATCTTTTAGATGTTGCCACTTAGTATTTATGTCATGGTAAAATAGCTTGGGTGTGAACCTACCATGAGATTAGCTAGCATAACTAAGTTACCTATGAGATTAGCTTGTCAACTACTTCAAATACTTAGCTAGGGATTTTGGTCCCCCAAACTTGTACCTTACTCTAAATTGGTCACTTTATACATGTATAATTCGACTTTACGGATCAATAGTGGTTGCTTGTAGTAGGTATGACTCGACCTAGCCCACATATCGCATTAGCTAAGGTCCTAGAGGAGATTCAACTATCATCTTCAAGGGTCAACTTTTGAAATAATGTTTCAACAAAATGGGTTCTCGGAGCACCACACTATAATATTCTCACAATGAGATATACAACTTTAAAAATAATATCTTCTCTAGTCATAAGCAATCAACACAACTTTCAACAGCGTGTCTTAAGCATTTTGAACACAACTACTCAATAAATAACATACAACTCAACTAATCATCTACACACTATCCTAGATCAATGTATTAAAATTCAACATCATACACCAATATACAACATATAACACAACTTAATCATCATACAAAATGTAATAGGTTCAATATCTTATACATGTTGACCAATTTATCATGAAAACAAGTTAAAACAGGGCAACCAACGCCTGATGCTATCCACCCCACACCTGATGCCATTAAGACAGGGAGTCCTATGTCTCGCCCACGCTTGGTGTCATACAACCTGCACTTGGCGTGGATTAGGTAAGGACCCTTGAACCCTCATGTCTAACGTGACAAAGTCCCACACCAAACTCCAATCCAAGCAAAGATAATTCTTTCCCCTCATACTTGATGTCACTCTTTTGATGTGTGATACTAATCTAGGTAAAGTCAATTTTCTTACCTCACATCTTGCGCCATTCAAATTACACTTGATGGAGGACCATCCTTGAATCATCATATAGGGCTTATCACAAGGTTCATGGCTAAGAGAGTAGAGGAAGATGAAGAACACACCACACCAAAAGCCATGATCATCATGTGTGTGAATTTTGAGTCCTCTCTTTAGTTTGTTGTTTTCTTTTCCTATTTTGCCCTTGTATTTTGGGGTACATTAGATATTAAAATTTTATCTTGTATTTTTATTTAGCCTTTGTATTATGGGGCAAAATTAGTCTTAGAATTTATTTTAGGACTTAAACCTTAATTTATGAGATCAAAGTTCATTTCTTTCTTTTTATAGGCCTAAGGGTATTTTAGTCTTTTAGGAGAGATGAGAGCCATTTCATTTGGGCTGCATTTAGGGCTCATTTAGGGTGCATTTGGACTTGAAAATTTTGGCCAAATGCTCCCAAGAAACCCTCCATGCCTTTCTCTCTCTATAAGTACTCTAGGTCATCCACCTTGTAGCTACTTTGGAAATTAATGATATTGAGTGAGTCTTGTGCCTCTTCATTCCTTCCTTAGTCCCTTAGGAACTCCACGGCCTCCTATCCTCTCCTCCTTCCTTGAGTGAGCTTGGGTCCTCCTTGGTTGGCCTTCATCATCCTAAGTGAAGTGAGCTAGCCTAAATGAGCTAAACACTAAACACCACCCCTTCATCTCCTTTCATTTTGTGTGTCACCTTATCCTCACCCATACACCTTGTTTGTCACTTCTTACCCTTGAAGAGATCATCATTTTCATCATCTCAACCTTGGAGAAGAGAAGGAATCAACTACTAGCCCTCATGAAAAAGTTGGTTCCATCAACACTCATTTTTCTCTTTCATCACACCTGATGCCACATTCCTGTGTCTATCGAGAGTGAGATAGAGGGAATGTGATGTTACACCCTACATTCTTTACTAATATAATTTTTTAATAAACTCATTGTATTCTTTATTCGAGATAATTCTATTTGAGGTAAGTAAGATGATTGTCATTAATAAAACTCTTTTTTTTGTTATTTGAACTACAAAATTTACTTTTCAAATATTTAATATAACATATCATACTTAAATTGGCATAGAAATTAATGAAGATTAGATACATGTCATTAATCTTTATATTTTGTTTGATTGTAAGAATTTAATTCAGTGCAAAAAATAACACTCAGCCATCTTATTTAATCAACATAAACTAGACTTAAATTATTATTATTAATTTTTTTGTAAATTAAACAAAACTTAAATACTTATCTATCTAATTATTTATAATATAAAAAGATGAGTTACACTTTATTACGTTGGCAATTCATTATAAAACTAATTTTACATGTTATCATGTCACCGTATTTGTTTATATGACAAATTCTCTAAACTAATACTTTAAACTTTTATCTTCTATCATATTTTTCCTTTACTTTTTATATATTACATCGTTCCACATTCTATTTAATCTAATTCTCATTTCTCTATTGTATAATTTTTATTTCATCATCATCAAAAAGGTATTACTTACACTTTATTACATCGACACATTATTATAAAATTAATTTTACATATTGTCATGTTAACATATTTGTATATATGACAAGTTCTCCAAACTAATTTTTTAAAATTTTATCTTCGATCATATTTTTCTTTACTTTCTATATATTACATCTTTCTACATTTTATTTAATCGAACTCTCATTTTTTTATTGTCTAATTTTTATTTCATCATCATCAAAAAGATATTACTTTTTTCTCTCTTTTTTTTTCTCCTCTCATTTCTCTATTATCTAATTTTTATTTCATCATCATCAAAAAGTTATTACTTTTTCCCTCTTCCTTCTTTATTCTCCTCTATCCTTTATATTATATATTTATGTTCTATCTAATTAATCTCTTAGCTCTTTGTTTAATTTTCATCTCACGTGGCAATCTTTGGCAAAAAGATATTACTTTTTCTTCCATTTTTCTCCTATACCTTTTATATTACATATTTACATTTCATAATCATTATCATCAAAAAAGTAATACCTTTTTCTCTTTTTATTTTTTTTTCTCCTCTACCCTTTATATTATATATTTATGTTCTATCTAATTATTTTCTACCCTCTTTGTTTAATTTTCATCTCACATGTCAATCTTTGTTAGAAATGAAAGATACTACTTTTTCTTCCTTTTTTTTCTCCTTTAGCTTTTTATATTACATATTTATGTTCTATCTAATTTATTTCTCATCCTCTTTGTTTATTTTTTCATTTCACATGAAAATTTTTGTCAAAAATGAAAGGTGCAACTTTTTCTTCCTTTTTTATCCTCAACCCTCTATATTATATATTTACATTTTATCTAATTTATTTCCTACACTCTTTATTTAATTTTCATCTCACATGATAATTTTTGTCAGAAATAGAAGGTATTCTTTTTTTTATTATTCTCAATTTGTCACATATTTTATCTAATTTATTTCCAACGTACATTGAACTTGAATTTTAAATTATGTATTAATACACAACTATTTATTTTGCAGGAAAATGAAGAAAAAATAAATTGTTAATGTTGAATTGGATCCTTACTTGCATGTTCATTGTCAATGACTCAATATGATTTATTTATTTTGATTTCAATAGAAATTGAAAATGATAATGATATATTATCTATATAACATTTTCTATAATATTATTTTTATTATCCTTCTATATTTATATTGAGTAACAAATAGTTTCAAATTGCATTTAATTAGTAAATTAGTAATTATATAAATAATTATATTAATTAATAATTAAGAGATAAAATTTAATTAAAATTTTCATTAAAAAAATAAAATAAAATAACTATTATGTAATTATTAGTTACATAAAAATATTTTTTTCGTCAAAACTATAATGTGTTATAATTTAAAATTATGTTTAATATGTAATTATATATGAATTAATGATTTTATTAATTAAGAGATTAAAATTTGTTAAGTTTTCAATTAAAAAATTAATTTTAATTATAAATAAAAATGAAGCAATATTAATTGATATTAATTATAGATTAAAATATTCATTCAATAATTTAATATTTAAGAAATTTAATTTCATTAAATTCTCCGTTTCAAAAAAATAATAAATGTTATAATAATTAATATTAATGTTAATTATAAATCACGATTAAAGAATTGTTTTTGCCAAAATCTAATAATTGTTATTAAAAAAAAATTAGATTAATGTTGATTTTAAATAATAATAATTTTAAATAATAATAATTTTTTTTAAAATCTCTCAATAATTGAATTTATATACGAGGAGTTACATATTTGAAAATAATGAATATATATGAAGAGTTACATATTTAAAATAATGAATATATGTATATTTTTTTATTATCAATTTAATTTGATAAAATATTAAAATAGATTATTTTATAATTTAGTTATAAAAAGTATTTATTTTGATATATTATCTTTAGTTATGAATTTTATAAAAGATTATTTACTTGGATTTTATATTTTTGAATTTAAATCTAAATGAAAAAGATGAAATATTATATAAAAATAAATATAAAAATATTTATAATAAATCCTATTATAAATAATAAGAAATTTATTTGTTATAAAAAAACAATAACAAACTTATATTATATAATTAAAAAATTATATATAAAATTTATATATTAACTAATAAAATAATATTTTTTAATTTAAAGAATTTATTTTTTATCCGTACATGTACATGGTGCGGGTCATTGTGTAATTAAACATTATTGTAGTATTAGTATAGTACCAATTAGCGTTTGTGGTGTTAATAAATCATTGCAGTTTGTTATTAAATGAGCGTTACTTGTCTTAAGCAGAAATGAATAAGACTTGATCCCTCCCTCTTTGTTTTTACTCGGCTGTTCCGTGCTGTCCTCAACTCTTTTCTTTTCAATAATGACGCTATTATCCTCTCAACTACTTGTATTCTCCGCCCTGCACCGCCGTGCACCGCCAACCCTCTTTCCTTGGACCAACCCAACCACCACCCACACTGCCCCGTCCCTGTGTTCTCCTGTCCAGTTGGGCCAACCACGGCTGCCCCGCTTCGTTGCCGCCGCCGTCGCGGAAGATCTGCTCTACAATGCCGGAGCCACCGTCGGGGTTCTCGGCGGCGGTTACGCCCTCGTGCGTGCTTTTGATGAACTCACTCGGAGGAACATCCTCAACCAGGTTCAACTTTAGATACTATTTTAATGCTTGCATGCAGATGCACAATTTCCAAAACTTCATAAATTTATTTATGTCTACACACTTATTAAAAAAATAAACTTAAATTCAAAATTTTGAACTTTTATAAAAGTTAATTAAAAAAAATGTTTTTTTTTCTATTAATAATTATCGTTCTGGTTTCAATTTGAGTTCTAGATAAAGTTTAAATTCATACGTGTGAATGTAATCACAATATATTTTAAAAAAAATTGAGTTTGCGTCTTGTTTCTTGATTTATATGTTGGTGGAAGTTTTGGGGCTTGTTTGGTTGTGATGTGACATTTTTCGGTTTTTGGGTTTAGGGTCTGAGCAGAAAGCTGGTACATATATTGTCAGGCTTGCTTTTTTTGATTTCTTGGCCTATTTTCAGGTATCCCATTTCTGCTTTCCAGATAATGTTTTTTTATCTTTCATACGAGGAAGTAGTGAACTGCATTGATTGGTGCCGCTTTGTTTGAATGTTTTGATGTTAATGTTAGGATAGCAACTCCCCTAAAGCTCGATACTTTGCCGCTTTTGTTCCTCTTGTCAATTGCTTGAGGCTTTTGGTCAATGGTTTTTCACTGACTTCTGATGAGGGACTGATCAAGTCTGTTACCAGAGAAGGAGATCCACTGTAAATGTCTTGTTTTGTTATCGTCACTTGTTTCTGTATGTGGATGTTGAAAAACTGAAAATTTGGTGAGAGCAATAAATGTTCATTCATGACTGCAGAGAGCTGCTGAGGGGTCCTCTTTATTACGTTATGATATTGATGTTATGTGCTCTTGTGTTCTGGCGTGAGTCTCCAGTTGGGGTGGTGTCCTTAGCAATGATGTGTGGAGGGGATGGTACTACAGTAAATAACACACCTTACTTTACTTTTTTATCTAATTCATGGTTTTTCTACTTTATTTTAATCAGCATTACAATTGACGGTTTTGCAGGTATAGCTGACATCATTGGTAGAAGATATGGGCACACGAAGATTCCTTACAATGAAAAAAAGAGTTGGGCCGGTAGCATATCCATGTTTGGCTTTGGATTCTTGGTTTCAATTGGGTGAGTTGCAACTTTGGCTTTTATTCATTAGAGCAATATGCAGCGGGGATTATATGACACATCATGTCATATAAGCTCTTTTTTACTTTATAAGTTGTTTAAATTTTAGCAAAGTTATTTGTAGAAGTTTCAGTGCTAAAATCTAAGCAATCCATAAAATAAAAAAGAACTAATGTAGCATGATGTGACACAGAAAGTTGCTTATAAACAACTCCTACCGAAGGTTTTATTAGAAAATGAACTAAAGTTAGATACAAAATGGAAAAAAATATTGTTGACATTTTGGATTGTAGGATGCTATACTATTATTCAGTTCTAGGACATGTGCAGTTGGATTGGGAAAGCACTGTGCCAAGAGTAGCTTTTATTTCATTCGTGGCAACGATGGTGGAGTCCCTTCCCATTACTAAGGTAGTAGATGACAACATCTCTGTTCCACTAGTTACCATGGCACTCGCATTCTTCACTTTCCATTATTAACTCTGGAACTTAAAGAGTGCGGCAATTAACTCTATTCTTGTCCATTGTTGAAGAATGGCTATAAATATTTGGTTGTGTTAAATGTTCTAATAAACACGATAAATATCTATTTTTATTTTACTATTATAAATTTGTTGGAATTTTGTACATGTATAAAATTATAATAATAAACGCTCTGGCAGTAACAATTTACACCAAGTCCATCTGAAAGATGAAAATTACTTCCAAAATCTAAGAATTGAATCCAAACCAGTAATTTAGTAGGAGAGCAGATTTTTCATGAAAAAATATAGATTGTGCAATGGCGACTTACCATTTGTCTCGTCCCAATGATCCTTTCTAGTAATTCGGGTTACCTGTTTGCACAGTTTAATTTTCTGTGACTTCAATTATAAAACTAGTTAATACACTCTCGTTAGTTGGACGTTACGTTATAGAAAAAATAAAAGTAAACATTGACTTGAAAGTTGAAACTTTCATTACACCTTGTCACTTTAAAAAAAAAATCCACATTTTTATTATTTTATAAAAATTATTTGATCACTACAATTAAAATTAATATATTTATGAAGAAAATAAATTATTTTAATAAAATTACAATAATTTTGATTCTGAATATAAGAAAAAAATATTCATATTTATTGGTTGTTCTAAAAAATAAATAAACCTTAACTAAATTTATCCATTTAATGTTATCATCTATAAAATATTCCTTCATTATATATAGATTGTACTTTTAGTGATGTTTTTATTTTTAATATTAAGTTCCAAAAAGGAGATAGTTTAGGAAACTAAGTAAATTTTTTAAAATGAAATTAGTGTAATTAAATGATACTTCAGATGATTTTTAATTGTCGATATTTTAGTAAAATTGTTTCTATGTCAATTTCAAAGTTCAAGATAATATTAATTATTATTAGATACAAATAATTAATTTATTAAACCCAAAATTGAATTGTTCGAGTAACACCTTAATTTAATCCTTGACAAAAATAACCCTTAATTAAACTCTATATACCTCTTCACTGAATCAAATTAATTTAAGATAAAGTCTTATAACATTGGTTTAAAATTAAATAAATAAAAATAAAATAAAATAACTGTAATCATTATTAAAAGAAAGTACTCTCTCAATTTTTTTCATTGTTTATGCACAAAAATTAAGACAATGATTAATATTTTAGTTTTTTAAAGTATTTATTCTATATTTTCTTGTTATACCCTTTAAGTAGTTAGAGAAGAAATAAATACATTAAAAAATAAATAAATACATTGTTCAATAAACATACATTAATTATCAAAAATAAAAAATTAATAAATTATTAATTTTAAAAAAATGATAATAAAAAAAAATAACAAAATACTGGTAAAACGACTATGAAAAAAAAACGGAAGGAGAACCATTTTGAGCTTAATAATTAGTCTCGTAATTACGCAAAATATCTGGCCAAAGAAAATAGGCCCCTCTTACATGCAGTAATTGATTTTGGTACTCAATTAATTCAGCATCCCAGACTGTTAGGTATCGTTCCGGTAGAATTGAATTGTCATTTTCACTATAGGTGCAGTGCAATGCAATTTATGTAGCCCCTTACGTTATCAGAATACATCAAATATTAATGGCAAGACCAAGGGCAGTGGAATATTATAGTCTTGCTTCATCGGTAATCTGGACCACACGTGAAGCAAATTTTGATGGGTTGCAAGTGCACAGAGTGTCACTCTTCATTGCATGTGCTTTCATTATGCAGATGTACTTTTACAGCAGAGCTTACCAACTGCAGTTTAACTTGCTTGTTAATAAGCAACCCATTTCTATTCAATGGCTAAAACTACATAGAATTGCCTATTTTATTTACAGATTGCCAAGGGCCAAATCATCCATTTTGAAATTTCAAGATGGCTTCACAGTCTAACTGGGGCTGAAGAAACAATAAATTGAGCAATTCAATGATTCATACATTATGACAACCAAAATGATATCATCTTCCAACTCATAATATTAATATATAATTTTAAAAAAACCGAATTTTTCTTACAAAGTATTGGCTCCAACCTCTGACATAGCTACAATTAGAACTTCCACATTTTATCATCCCTTATAAGCATGAAAGAGGATGTAAGAACTCCACAAAATTAAGCTGTGCAGAGGAATTAGATAGAACCAGCTTCAGCAAAATCTGCAAATTTGTTTTCTTTTAATGAATAATTGATTGTTGGGCAGTCAACTGTTTTATCCCTTCTTGCTGAACAATAGATATATAAAAGAATATGTTCTCAAAACCAGAATAAATTCACCGGTTTTGAAGTCCTTCAATTGCCTTTTTCCACTGCCATGCTCTTTGCTTTGCATCCTCAAACGACATTACCTTTTTAGGCTGCATCATTACATTATTTAATAAGTATGAAGCTTGGAACAACACCAAAGTATAATAGAACTAAGACGTAGAATTTATATATGAAGGCGGAAAATCACTATATAAAATATGGCATGAAAAGACTTTAAGCGAAAGTCATGTCATGCTGTTTGCCAAGGTGTTATGTACTTAAATATTTCAACTATTACCACGGCCAACTTGGAATATGAATTTGAATTCTCACACGTACTGTTTTCCATATTTATAAGTAGTGACAATTGTATAACATAAGCCGGTGAAGAACAGAAAGCTTACTGTGCAAATCTTGAAATTTGATGGAGTAGTCACTTGGATGCTTAAATCATTTGGATTATCAGACCATATTATATTTCCCTTCACAATTAACTTTGACGGGTCCACATAGATCAACTTTGGTTTGTTGGTGAGGATGAGCTGCACCTTCTTGCTTGTTAGTTTTTGTAATTTCTTCACCATAGAGATCATAAGAACAGATTCCCCAGGATCCAAAAATTGTTGCCTGTAAGATGAGCATAAATTTTGTATTATTGACAAGCCAGGTAAACATATGGACTTAAGGCACTGTGCCTTTTTTGTATTTTTTAAAAATAATCTTTTCAATCTCCCGTCATTTTTTTCTTCTGAATGCAAACAAATTTCTATCTTCTATGAGATGCAAATTTTTTTTAATCAAACACCAACAGGGAGAGGATATTAGGAACATATGAACGAATATCCATATAAATTAATATTACATTATCGAATGAGACCTCAACATGGCTGTTATTTTTTCTTCTTCTTTAGGATGAGCAAAGCAACTGAATATTAAAACTAACAGTTTTTTTCCCACTTATGTATTCCAAAAAGATATATAAATCCATAGTTATTCTTTAATGTGAAAGGCTGTAAAGCATGAAAAACATAAAATAAAGGATAGCATACATCATTTGGTAAAATATTGAAATGCTAGCTTCAAAAAAAAATCTCTTTTGGACACATTTGAAAGTTTTCTTTAATTTGAAAATTATACTAAAATGATCTACAATTCTACATAAAATCATTACTTTTGAAGTGAACACACCATACCAATTTCCCATCACTAGAATATGATTCGGTGCAAAAAAACACACTAACCAAAAAAGGAAGGTTCATATATATATATATATACCATTTTGAATCGAAGGAATCAATTGAAGCTAGCCTAGTTATGTGACCAGTTCCTTCAGAAGATGATGCGGCACCATCAGGTTGTCTAGCCAAAGAAGCAGAACCATCTCCAATGTGAGAGGGACTCCATGATGAGTCATGAACATCATCACCAGCAGGCGACTGAGTCTACAAGTGAAAATTATATAAGTTAGAAATTTATGTTCATCAACAAGCAAAGAGGACAACAAATGAAGGTTCCTTTTCTTATTCTCCATAAATAACAATTCAAAGAGCAGAGCAATGGAAGTCATACACAAGGTTCTAGAGCAAGTTTTGGAGGAATCTGTGCCCTCAAGTTATCCCAGTCAACCCCCTTGAAAAAAGGGTGCATCTTCAAAATAGCATAACCATCAGGTCCTGCACCTGGTCTCCTGCTGGGGTCCAAATCCTGCATCATAATCGCATTGCTATTTAAAATTAAAACTTCCAAAATTAATAACCCACAGCATGCTAAAAAAGTTGTGATATATACCATCAAATGAAGAATTTTAGTATTACCACTAATGTAATATATTTTTCATGTTTATCTATTATAATGCATTATATCATATCTTGATAAGTTTGATTGATACAAAGTTATGTACTTTAAAAAACATGATGTCTTTTCAATTTTCATGCATGATATTCATCTGCAGAAAAAAAACTGGTCTGTTTAATATATTTACATAATCCCTATATAATCCTATGGATGCTTTTGACTTGCTAAAAGCTGAAGGACTGGACAGCAATAGAATACTTGTTTTATGTTGACTTTAAAATTGGTTATGGGACAGAAAAAAGCAAAAGATGACACACACAACAGCTTGGTGACAATTCTTGTCCCAGGATAACCACTCAAAAGTCAAAAAATACCCATCAATTTGGACAAAACTGCCAGCAAGCCCAATTGGGCTTGTACCCAGCCCAGCCCCCCACTCCACCCCCAAAAACTCTGTTGTACATCAACTACCATAATATGAAGAAAAGAAAAGTAGTGTTAATTGAGGCTCAGGTTCTTAAACAAAGTTGTTCTACTTGCATTCTCCACATGTCCTTCAATGTGCATCAAATGCACCCTATGTCTGTTATCTAATAGTTTACAACTATACCTTCTCACTTTCTGTTATTATACAATACTTGTTGCAAAGGGCACATCATGACCGAATGTGATCGATCACCCCACCCCCTCCCAAGCAGCCCTACACTTTCTAAACGGCTAGATTTCCAAGGTATGGGAAGTACAATGGAATAAATGAAAATGAATAAAAAACTATGAAAAACTTCTAAGCTTGACAACAAATAGAAATGAATGGGTACTGGTTAGAGGAATGGAATTTTGACCATTGTTACTCCCAAATCAACTGAAAAAATAAAAAATGCAAAATTCACCCAGTCTCATAACACTGTCCTTCAAGAAGGCCAGAAATGAAACACCTTAATCCTGGAAATTACACTCCTTCAAGAATAGCTAATTAATCTACAAAAATAGAAAGGGGTAATTTTTTAAAAGATTATCAATATATAAAAATTATATAGAACATAAATTATGCTGATATTTCCATGTGCACGGTCATATAATACTAACCAACAGGCGGTCAACAAGGTCTCTTGCTTCATCAGAAAAGTAATCTGGAAATCTAAGTTCTCTTGCTATAATTCTTTGAAAAATAAGCCATTCACTTGCGTCTTTAAAAGGGGAAGTTCCAGAAAGCATTTGGTATAATGTGCAGCCAAGTGCCCAAAGGTCATTTCTGTTGTGATATATTGAGCGAAGAAAAACAAAAAAACAAAAGAAAAGTTATTGTATCCAATGGTATGAAACAAGAGCAATAATGAAACTGAGTGCATGAGCAAACTTAACATTTGAATTGTCAAAAATAATCCTTGATTTTTGGGAAGAAAAAAAAAATACATACTGAAATGAAAAATCAGCATACATGGAAAACTGGCAAAGAAATAATATTTTTCTTCGATAAAAGTGATTCAAAAGAGAGCTATACATTATGGAATGGAGGCCTAAGAAATAATATCATCATAACATATAATTCATCTATATTACTTGATAATTTATTCCCTACCCAAAAGTTGCTGGAGAGGAATTAAGAACCTCTGGAGGGACATAAGCAGCTGTTCCCACAAAAGTGCAGGCTTTGTCATCTACAAATTTTTTAAAAAATAAATATAAATATAAATATAATAAAAAATAAAACTTGTAAAAAGCAGTTTCCACATTAATCCTATTTTACCTGATGCTGCATTTGGAAGGACAGTGATTTGGCTATCCTGCATAGGCTTCACACTCCCAAAATCGGCTATTTTAATATGTCCTTCAGCTGTAAGTAATAAATTCTCTGGCTGCAGTTGAAGAAATTTAATATCCACACGGCAATATATGGCAATGGTGCAGTATAATCATGCCAAAGAACTACCTTAATATCGCGATGTATCACTCCCAAATTGTGTATGTATTCAAGAGCATCTACAACTTCAGCTGCATAGAATCGTGCCTCGTCCTCTGATAGACGACCTTTCTGCACATAGAAATCAGAAAGCTTGCTAGTAGATATCATGCAGTAACAAGCACGCAGAAATATATGCTTACAAATTAAAAACTTCCATATTCCAAAAAGTACTGAATGTACAAATAATTTCTTAAGAGAGTCCCCTGACACAGCTGATGAATGAAGATAAAGAATATAACAGTACAAAAGTAATTTTGTTTGGAGGCAAGGAGGTCATTGGTTATTAATTGAGTGGATATGGGAAATTAGTGTTTGATACCTACAAAATATTTTCCATAGATGAAGTACTATTTCAGCAATGCAATCTTTTTGCAAATATTTGTTCTAGTAAGTATAATGGATTTGAATTTTGGAACCAAATGTTCTAATATGATTTATCATATAATCTATCACATTTCAATATTTTAATATGATCTGATTTATCATATAATCTATTACATATCAATATTTTAATGTGTTTGTATGGATTAGCTTATTTTGCATTAAGAAAATCTTATAATCAAAATGCAGCAAACAAAGCTCTTGGCCAAAGCTTTTTTCAAGTTAAAATTATGCATTGAGATTATATTTAGGGGTTTGACGAGATATTATTTCCCCATTTCCTTATTTTCATGTATTTTCTTGTTTCCCTAACTATGATCCCCTAAACTTTAGGAATTGATCTGGCCCTCATGTATATAAATAAATGTATCAATCATGCAGTAATACAGTACAAGAAATTATTTTTCCCATCTCAAGCTGGCACCAAAGCTTTCTAGTCGGTCCTTTCTCAGTCCAAATAAGGCTTGGATTGCTTAGGGGGTACAGGCCCTTAATCATTCTATATTCTTTAGACATTCACCTTTGATTGAACTTATTTATTATGCAGTGTATGTAGACCCAAATGTGATGCTTCTATCTAATCAAGGAGAGCCATATCTTGACTCAGGTAGATATAGGAGATTAGAGGGAAAATTAAATTATCTCAACAGACTTGACCAAATATATCTTCTCCTATTAATGTTGTAAGCAATCCCTTAATTCTCCTTCTGAAAGTCATAGGCAGGCAATAGTTTGGATCATTTGATACATTAAAAGGTCACTCAGAAAGGGACTTGTTTACACTTTACACTAATAGAGAACACACACTAACATCATTAAGTACTCAAATGCAAATAGGGCATGTGATAAAAGTGATATGCAATCCACTTTAGGTTATTGTGTTTTCATGGGTGGTAACTGGTAACCTTATCTCATGGAATATAAGGAAGCTAAGTGTTGTTGCAAGATCAAGTACAAATGTAGAATACTGAGCCATGGTATATTTACCAAGCTAGATGTAGCAAAGTGGGATTGCATATATATTTACCAGGCTAGAAGCATATGATATATATGCTCCAACTTGAGGGGGAGTGTTGAGATTATATTCAGGGATTTGATGAGATATTATTTTCTTGTTTCCTTATTTTCTTATTTTCATTTAGTTTCCTTGTTTCCCTAATCATGATAATATGATCTCTATATTTCAGAGATTGATTCGACCCTTATGTATATAAATAAGTGTATCAATCATTAAGTAATACACTAGAAGAAATTATTCTTCCCATCTCAAGTTTATGCAAAACCAAACATATGCTTAATGTATTACTTACCTTGTTATCAAAGAGGAAAGGAATTTGTTATTAACTAGTGTGACAGTTCTATTCTTTATTGGCTTTGGTGAATCTCTAAAAGTTCTACAAAACTGTAACATAAATTGATTTCAATAATTTCCCGGGTGGAGACTATAAGAATGAAGACAAGAGCCCAGAATGCAAAATTCTCGAATGTAGTCAATGTTTTAGATGTTTAAAACTACACACTTTATAAAGAATGAAGATATTAAACACAAAAAAGGGAATGACAATTCAAAGAGAAAATAAATGATAAAAGATTGAAATCAAATTTCAAGTATTCTCTAAAGAGAGAATAAATGCACCCAGTGAAACAATACTATTAAGGGGAAGAGGGGTTGACCATAGCACGACACTGCATGGGTATAATCTTCAATCTAAAGGTATGCCATCTCGTATTCCTAGCATTAACTATGGTTCATTTTTATGTTTGAAGGAATCTTGTATTAAAAAGATTTAGTATGGGGATTAGTCGATTCGGTAAAATGGAGTGAAAACTGAAAAGTAGGTTTATTTTGGCAAAATCTAAAATTAAATATTTCAAAAAAAACTTCAAGAGGTTGAGTGTAAATACTTCATTTTAAAATGATCACTTATGTGTATCCAAAGAATTGATCATAAAGACAACATTAAGTTATCCTGAATCTTAGAAAACCCGGTGTTAAAAGAAATTCTGGTGTAGTTTATAATTTCCACTCTTTGGAATATTATAAGGAGCCTAAATTTCATGTTTTTTTTAACATTTATACTAGGACTACACCTGGGTTCTGCTGGACTAACACCTTCAGCACACGTTATGTAAGATTTTTCTGAACATATTACTTATACCCCAGCACATGGAGCATATGCCTTGAAGTTTTATGTTAGCTTACCCTGGTTATTTGATCAAAAAGTTCTCCACCTTCACAGGATTCAAGTGCCATGTCTTCACCGATGTAAAAGGAACAGAGGAAAAGGAGATAAAGTCAAAATAATATATAAAGCAACTTGGCAAACAAGGGGAGCAAAAGGAAGTGTTAGAAGATATTAGAGAAGAGTAAGACACAGCAAAAGCGAGTGTAAGGATAAAATAAACCAGGCAATACTTACACAGAGAAAATGAGTCTTGAAATGTGAAATATAACCGCACAATGCCTGGATGATCCAATTGATCTAGTACAATGCGTTCCAATTTTACATAAGCTGTTTTGTTCTCTTTGGTAATAAATTTTTTGTCCATGATCTTCAATGCATACACAGTTCCTGTGTCCTTCTTCTTTGCCCTCACAACCTTTAAGCATAATAAGAAAGATATTTGGTGATAATTTACAAGAGAAAATAAACCCACTCAAACAACTGTTTACCGTATAAGATATAACAGACAACAAATATGTCCCAAAGTGGTACAAATTATACGATACATTTCCTTTAATTAACAGAATTTTTTGTGCACAACCAACCAAAACAGTTGAATAAAGAAACCAAATCATAGACGGAGCAAGAGACAGACAGTGTGCAAGTGAGGGAGCTAGACAGGCAGAAGCAAAGGCCATATGTGATATATAAAAGTAGAGACAGAGAAACCAAAAAAAAAAAATGTTTTCTGTGAGATGTCACAAACTCATATTTGATATCAACACAGTTTAAATAAGTAAACACTACTAATGGCAAGCCACAAGCAGGATAAAATTCCCCATAAAAGAAGTAAGGCATCACAATAATACACTCAAAAGGCGAATATAATGCTGATTTTATGCACTAGTCAGTCCACGTCAGTTCCGGCTGGGTAAACCGCACATAATCAATAAAGCCAATCATTTATTCAGTTTGCTTCATTTCTACAGACTAGACTATAAATTTGTTTTACTTCCAGCTCTGTAACTCAATTAATTCTCATTAATTAATTCAAAGATAATCTTGAGGACTCATTTGTTTTGAGGAAAAAAAATGGCTTAATTTCCAAATCTGAATCTTTTAATATAATTCACAATACCATAAGAGCTAACAGCAAACAATACATAACTCATAGAATGTAGGATGTTTTCCTGTTGTGTAAATTGAACGGAGCATCTTCAGAGAGAACGGGAAGAGGTGGAGGTACAAGCAGTCTTTATAACAGTTTTAGCAACCATTCATGACAGAGCATCAAAGAAGAATCCCCCTAGCATATCAAAATTCCCAAATGAAGATACCAAACGATGTTTCACTTCATACAACAATATATAGCAAACAAGTATGACAATATTGCCTAATGATGTCCAACGCATTAATGATTATCCAACTTGCAACCAACAACCAACATGTATTATGTAACAGAACTACAATGCCAACATCATTAACAGGATCCATGTATTATCAAAACACTGCACACAGCCACACACAGAGACAACATCAACCCACAAAACAAAAGCAACAAAAGTATATATGTGAGACCTTAGAATAAGAGCCAACACCATAGATCTTGCCCAATTCAAAGTCCTGAATGGTGTAATTCTCCTGGGGAGCCCTAAAAGCAAAGCTTTTGGATCTCTGGACATTCCCAGCATTTCCATTGGAAGAGGAGGAATTCCCCTGAATCTTGAGCTTGGAATCAAAATCCTTCTCCATTTCCAACATTGCTCGGTCGCCAACAATAGCAAGAAGGGAGCTACACTCTACATTCCCATGGTGACTTTCTCTCTCTAGAAAAGCACTTTCTCTCTCTAGAGGCCTGGGGGGGCGAGCCCGGAACGGTCAAAGAGGGGCGAAGGCGAGGGTACCCTTTTGAGGGAAAAGGAAAAGGGCGAAGGGAATTGCGCGAATGAATGGGAAAGGTGGGAGCTTTGGGGGAGATTGGGAATTGAAATTGGAAACCCTAGAGAGAAGGAGAAGGAATGGGAGTGATGATGGAGATCATTCATTTCATTTTGTCATGCCTTCTTTCTCTCTCTCTTTGTGGCTATTATGGCTAAATCAGGAACAAGGCAAACACCTGTCATGGGAAGGGAAGGAGGTGTTAGCATAAATAATGCATATGATTACAAGCTTTTGTGAAATTTCATGCTTTTCTGTCACTGTCCTGTTTCCAATAGATAGAATAGAATAGTCCAATGCCAATGGATTGGATTCAATGCTTTGACCGTTTTGACTGCAAATCTCACATTTCATTGCTTCTCTTTCTTTACCCAAAACATACATACTCTACAACAAAAAATAAACAAACATTGCTGCCTTTTCATTTAGCACATATTCTCCACTTTTTTTTTTTTTTATGACAACTAAAATCAAATTGCTTGCTTTTTTTATAATTAAAAATTACAATAATCACTTCGAAATTTAAATTTAAATTTTTGTATATGTTGATAATTTTATCATTAAGATGATTCTAATAATTCATTAAAGTTTGTTTGTTGTTTTGTTTTTATAAGAATTGACTTAAAATATGTTTTTATTAATTATTTTTAGCAAGAAATAACTTTATTTAATGTATTTCTCTCCATTTAATAAATAGGTAATGTAAGACTTTCATTAATATCGAGAATAATTTTAAAAAAAGTAAAAAAATTTAAGATAAAATTAATGACATAATTAATGTATAAATTAATTAAAAAAATTTACACCTAAATTAATTAAAAAGTTAGATAAATGCATATTTGACGATTATATTTTTTTCTCTCAGTTTCTACTCGATCAAACGAGAAAAATAAATTATATTTTTTTCTTTATATTTTCTTTCATATTAAACAACTAAAAAATCATTTCTCTTTCTTTTCATTTTTTATTCTTTTATTTTAGTTACTTTAACTTTTTTTAACCAAAAAAAGTGTATTTAAAAAGGAGAAAAAAAAATCCATAAACTTGGTACTTTAAGATTTTGAGTTAAGATGAAATGTAAAATTTATCGATGTAGTTTGCTCATGACCTATTAGTATAGCTATTTTTTGTGTTTAACATATTTCGTATTTCCAATAATTGGTATCAAAATCAATGATTCAATCAAGTGATCGATTCAGACGAGTATTAGATAATGAAATTAGTGGTGGATTCATATTTGGAGGTCCCTAGTGTCAAAAATCTCAAACTTATTGATGGTAATGATTAAGTTTTATTGGCAATACCATCTAATACTTATGAATGGAAAAATACTTCTACTTACAGGGGGGACATACCATGTGAAAAAGATTCACATTCAAAGATGAGATTATTGTTGTGTATAAGTGTGAATGTATTGATGTAATTCTTTGTGATGTTTAACTCTCTCATGTTTCCAACAAATTATTACACATTCTAAAAAAATAAACTAGTTATCACCACAAACTAATTATTGCACTTGTATAAAAAAATATTTTAACCCATATATGTTGAATTCAAATGTATGCCATAAGTAAGATGTAACATTGTAAATCATTGATTTTATTATATTGTATGTTGTTGTGATTTATTATTTAATAGTTGATAAATCATAGGACTTTAGAAATTCTTAGGAGTTCCCAGTTGTTAAGAATTGTTTTGAGTAGAGGTCAGAAGTCTGACCTGTTAAGAAAAGGTATATAAGATATTTTTTAAGAAATGAACTTTATAAGTTAATTTTCTTAAAAAGGTTAGAGAGAAGCTCTGGAACTAGAGAGATTTTCTTACCTTTTTTGAGTCCATAAAGAACATAAAACCCTTCACTATAGAATGTTGAGTAGTTGGTCGTGATTCAAGCCCGTAGAGTTGAGAATCCAAAACGTTAGAGAAGTAGAATGGAATTATCGGGGTCTCGTTCTTTTCTTTTCTTCCTCTTTTTGGGTTGATTCGGAGGTAATAAGAGATGCTAGAACTTAGCTCTTTGATGATTTATGATGCTGTATGTTTTTTGAGTTTCACATAATTGTAGCTGTGTTGCTTGAATTTTGAGGTTGGGGTTCCATGATTCTTGTAGCATGTTGAAGTGAAATTGATGATTTTAGTTAATTATTGGTTGCATGTTGTGTTTTTTGTTGGAAATGAGATGATTATGTTGTGTAGTCATAGAATATGGCATTGCATGTTAGATTTTTCTCGAGTTTTAAGTGTAAAGAGCCAAATTCATGATTCTATCAATAGATTATAATAAAATTAAGGAGAAAATAAACATTAAATCCGTAAATTTTGTATCTCAATTTAGTGTTATATAAGAAGAAACAATAAGTATTATTTTAATTTTTAATATGATATTAATTTTTTAATTTATATTTCTAATATATTTTTATAATATTGTTATTGTGTTGCATTATTTTTTAAAAAATCAACTTAATAAATTTTTTATTCTCTTTTATTTACATACGATGATATTATTAATAGTAATTTTTTATCCTGCATGTGTAAGAAATTTTAGAACTGAAATTTATTATTGAACAAAGCACAGTATCATAAACTATGTATTATTGTGTTGATGAGTCTTGTACATACTACATAGTATGATTTAGATGAAAAAAAGAGGAAAGATTAAAATATGTTTCTTTCTCTTTTTTTTGGCAAGACGTACAAAAGGAAAGAAAGAAGAAAAATAAAAGTGTGGTCTGACATGAATATTCAGTGGTAGATATTTATTATCAATTTATCATCATCATTTATATTTTTTTATTAGATTATTTATAACCGTTCAACTAATTTATATCTATAATTAGCCTGTTTCATTATTAAAAATATAACAAAAAAAAAACTCTTCATTATTTTTTTAAGTTGTTTTTTATATCCTTTCTCTATAATGTTATTATATTAAAGTTTATAATTTTACGTTAATTTTCATAACAAATTTTATTTTTTTATTCTTTCTTTTCCTTTTTTAAGAAAAGGAGGGGAGGACTTATAAGATTTTAAAGACAATTATTCTCATTATTTATACATTTTTTATTTAATATAATTGTTTGATTTTATATACATATTTTTTTATTATTTCACACAACCAAACATCTTTATAATCATCTTGTTTTTAATTCATTTTCTTTCCTTCCAACAATATTACAATGATATTATAAATAAACTAAAATCCTTAACTTATGATCGGAAGTTTTCCTTAAAGTATGGGAGGTGAACTTAATATTCATAGAATTGATTTTTATGATATTAAAGTAACATTTATATAATATAAGTCATGTTATATAAGTGCATATTAGACTCTGTTTATTATTAATTTTGAGATATACTATATTTATAAAATAAAATAAAAATGATAATAGAGATTTTGTTAGTTTTGTTATGGATCACAATGGGGATATTTTTGTGTCCAAGTGACAATTTTAAATTATATGCTTTACATTAAATAAAAAGAATGCAGTACATTTACGTTATGAAAGACCACAAAAATTGCAATACTTTATTATAAAATATCTTTCATAATTATTTTTATATAAGAATGAGCATACTTATTACTCGTTGTATTCCTTATACGCAACATCTTATTTGTTCACATCGTGATAAAAAAAAAAATCAATATAAGGAATCAGGAAATAATGTTCATGAGGTCTCCAAATTAGAGAAAACTAAACAAATTTCTTTAAATTTTGTGCTACACTCACCCCTCTTTCAGGGAATTTATAACACGATCCTATGCTAACATTATCCAGACCTATTCCTTTTATAATCTCTTGTTAACTAATATTTAACATCACATCTTAATATATGAAATTAACACAATAAATTACTTGAAATTAGAAAAATTATTTAATAAAAACAATATTTTTATAAAATTAAAAAAAGCAATGCCGCGTGAAAATACATAAAAAATTAAAAAAATAAAAATAAACACCATGGTAACTTTACATTAATTTCCTACACTTCTATCACTTTTGGAAAGGAGTTTCTTTTCCTATTTTTTTTATTTCTCTCTTTCATATAAAATAAAGACATCCTTTTAGAATGGAGTTTCTTTTCCTATTTTTTTCCTTCTCTCTTTCAAATAAAATAAAGACATCATTTTAGAGAAGCATATACATGGTGAAAATGTGAAATACAAGATTCTACATGAAATTGTAGGGGAGTTATATGCTTATAAAGTAGGAGTGGTAAAACGAGTCAGTACGATCTGTTTAAATTTGTCTCGTTGTTAGTCCGTAAAAAATGATTAGATCGGGTTGGCTCACCAAATGAAAACGAGTTAGATGTCTTGTCTCGCCTTGCCTTAGGGTGGATCGGCCTATTTAATAAAAGTTTGCATATTTATTTTGAGTAACTCTTCTAATATTTCTTTCTTAATATCTAAATGACCCACATAAATTAGTATGTTTGTATAATAAAATAAATATCAAATTATAACAATTTTGGTTTGATTTTCTATTAGGGATGACAAATATACTTGTACCCATAGGTAATACCCGAACCCGTCCTGACTTTAACAGGGAATACCTTGTTTGACCGGGTACGGGTACGGGGGTAAAACCCGATATATTAAATCGGGTACGGGTATGTACTTACTCGCCCCGTACCCATACCCGTCCCCGTACCCGCCCTCGTTCCTATTCTAAATTTAATACTCACTTTCAATTTAATTATGTTAAAAAAATTTAATATTTTATTATGTATGATTATTTATTATAATATGAGATAGAGAAATAACCTAATTATAATTATACTATAATAGAAAAATAATTTAAAAATATTATATTTTTTTACAAAAAAAAAATAATAATAAAATTGATGGGTATGGGTACGGGTACGGGTATACCCGATACCCGATGGGGACGAGAATGGGGATAAAAATTACATACTCGACGGTACGGAACAGGACGGGGATGAGTTTGACTCACAGGAACGGGGACAGGTATCATGAAACTCGTACCTGACCCGCCCGTTGCCATCCCTATTTGTTATACAACAAAACACAAATTTGCTACATAATAAAATAGATATAATAATAATAATAATAATAATATTATTATTATTATTATTAATAACAACAACAACAACAATAACTCTTCCAAATTTGTTGCACAAAAAAATTCAAGTCACATATAATAAAATAAATCAAATGCATAACATATTTATTACACAACAAATTACAAACTACTTACATAATAAATCTCATGTGACT